TTTAAAGTTTGCATCTCATCAGTGATTTGAAAGACAATGACTTTTCAAATGTGATGCTGAATAAGTATATATATGCCTATAAGTGAAACTCTACGGTTCATGCAGTAGATTTATGTCTAATAGAAGCAAATTTAATTTTAAAAATATACCTCACAGAAGTATGTCTAGAAATCAGTTAAATCTAAATTTAATGTAGATCTAGGTAAAAGAAAATGTATGGTGTAAATATTTAAAAATTTTTTTCTCTTAATTTTGATACAAGCACTATTTGAAATTTGATATTTAATTTTATACTGGACACCTAATGCATTTAGACTACTGTACTAATTAGAGCATGTTAAAATAGGATGTGTAATTGGATGGATAATTAGTAACAACTTTATTCTAACTGGGGAAAATCTTTTTAGATTTATTCAAGGCTAATAACTGTTAATAGAAGATTTTAGGATTCTGCCAGAATCTAATGACAAAAAGGCACTTAGAATATAAAACATCATATTTGTACTTGCCCATTTATATAATAAAACGGTGATCCCCCATTCTTATTTAATCCTCAAGTAAATGTTCTTTAGGGACTCTGTAGTCCCTTTCGTTGTTTGGACTTTTAGTTTTTAGGGGTCACTAATTTGAAGAACTCTTTAATAAAGTTAAGTTTTTGAATAAAAGTATCTTATATAATTTCATCAAAAAAACTCCTATTCATGACACATTCTGCTTTAACCACTCTTTCTATGATCTACTGAAACATTTTTTAATGCTGGATGCTTAACTTGTTTTTTGTTTTTTTCCTTTCTCTTCACATCCTGAAGTTCCAACTAACCTTTCAATGCTTTTCTCCCTTACCTCTTTTATTTGCTCCATTTATGCATTAAGTGGTTGCTTAGATTTAAGGTAAGAGATTCCAGGGCTGGATTTCCATTCTTTGTTCTTATGTAGAATATTACATATGGGGAGTGAAGAGATATTTGGCACTTGGCCTTTTAAAACCAACAAATTCCCCTTTATTTTATTTTATTTTATTTTATTTTTATCATGCAACTTTGTATGTCATCATGTTCCATGAGGGCAGATATTTTTGTCAGTTTTGTTTACTGCCCTATCCTGTGTGTCTGGAACAGTGCCTGACACACATTAGGCACTGAGTAAATACTGGTTGAATGAATGGGTCATTTTGTAATGTTAATACATTTTGTGAAACTGAAATGTGAATTACCCTATCATAAAATGTCATGAAATAAAATTAACTGGATTTGTGTAAGTGTAGAAATTTTATTATGGATTGGAGGGCTGCTAATGTGCTACATTTAACCCTCCCCCTGTGTAATAGCCTTTTTATTCTATAAATGGTGTGCTTTATTATACACCTCGTGGCCACTATGTCATTATCTCTTGACTCTTGATAAGTGTAGAGAAATTGAAAATTGGAAAATATTCAGTGTTACGGTTTTTTTTAAGTTGCAGTATCATGTCTATTGTAAAAAAATAAAATTAGTCTTTTTATTCAAATTGCTATCTAAATGATATATTTCATTATAAACTCAGTTTAAGAGTTTTCAATTTGAGTATTACATGTAAAACATCAAAAGCTCGTGATAGTGTTTAACAAAATACAAGTTAAGAATTAGAGATAATATCTCCTTCTGTTATTTGAGTAACATTTTAATATTTTGAAGGATGAATGGGAAAAGACATTCAAGTATTTTCAAGAAGTCTGTCAGATAGAAAGGAGGTTGCATTGGTGGTTCAGTGGTAGAATTCTCGCCTCGCTGTCAGGTAGAATGGTACTAAAATTGTCAGCAAACTGAGCGTGCATTTCCTTTTTGTTAATTTTTTCCTAGCTGAACTCTAATTCCTTTTCTAATATATATTCTTACTGTGCACTCTGTTGTTTGCCATGTCTTCGGTGTAGAAAGCGATAGCAAGAAGACATGGCTGGGATCTGAATAATTAACTAGCTGCTAACCACGGCCAACAGGTCATGGTAGAGAGATGTGAGCAGAGGAGCCCAGGCAAATGTGCTTGATGTGTTACAGGGGTGTTGGCTCCAGGCCAGTCTGGGTGAGTGCGGTGTGTGGAGTCTGGGAGGAGGCCCCTTTTGCGTAAAGTCGGTAGATTTAGACCAAAAGCAGTCTTTGTGGCTCCCTTGGCTCTTTTCCCGTAAAGTCTGTATTCAAATTTTGGCTACTGATGTGTCAACCTCCAAAGTGATAGACGTACATGGAAACATTAACTGAAGGAAAAACACAGAAATTTGGATTAATTATTTTCCCTTAAAGTTTAGACCAGCTTGCCTAAGCTACTATCCCCTACTCATTTCTCCAAACCATACTGTGATTCCTTCTTTACCTTCCTGGGTTCAGGATCTGTTCCAGGCGAGGGATAGGCCAGAGTGAGTGGGAAGTTAGAGGTTCCTAGAAAGAAGGGTCTAACAGGAAACATTGTACTTGAATAAGATTCCTCAACATCTTTGATCGTTGCACCGGAAAGCTCCATTCCTAGGTGCTATGGCACTATGTAGTTGTTTCTGCTACATTGGGATGGGGTTGACAGAGTGAGAAGCGTACCCTGAGTTCATATAAGAAGCTAGAATGTGCCAATCCTCTGTTTTTCCTTTCTTCCTTTTCTTCTTTGTGAGTATGTCTGTCTTCTCTCTAAACTGGTGACACATAGTTATTATTTTGGTTGAACCAAAACAGTGCAGAGTGAAAAAAATATTCAGAATATAGCAAATCATTACTCTTCTTATGCTTGTGAAAAAATTAGTGATTTTAGAAGGGTGATTGATGGAATAATTGAAATTTTAAGGTAAAATGGAATTAAAGAAAAAGATGTTTAAGTTGAAAGGGACTACAAATATTAAACTAGCTCAGTGGTTTCCAGCTGAGATTTTTTGGAGACTAGTGGATTATATAAGGTGCCCTAAAGTTCTCCTGATACTTGATTTTCACCTCAGCACTTCATGAACTGTCTTTGTTCCCATTCCTGTCAGGCTTTTGAAGCCTTTTAGACAGATTCTAAACAAATACATACTTTGGGACCAGACACATGGAATTTGACTCAGAAGAGACCACCATACTTAAAACTTGAATTTTTAACCTTTTATACAGCATGCGCTGGTTGTGTTTAATGGTTCTTTTCATCTGAAATTTGGATTAATTGTTTTTTCTTCAGTCAACTGGGGAGAAATTGTAGAGTTTAATTCATAAGACCTTTGAAAACAATGTGGTGATGTTTTTATAACAAAGGGCATAAAAAGCCAGTGGATAGAATACTATATTAAAAGTATTTTAATATGTACCTAAGGCCATATAAAAGTGGGATGTGTCTCAAACTGGGGTACCCTTCCCCACTCTTTATAGTTAACAAAGTTTTAAGACCTTGTTACTGATGTATTTGAGACTTTTCTGTTGAAAGTGGTAAGGTTGTTACTAATGAAGCTAAGCTTAAGTACTTTTTGAATAATTATATTAATCAAAAATAATAAAGATTTCTAATCTGTTAGTGTAGTGTTTATTTCAGTTGAACATTGTGCAAGCAGATTCTAAATAATTAATGATGAAGGATTAGGGTGTATTGTACAATTAACACATTAAGAATGTAACATTTTTGAAAATTTTGCTTGGGATTTTGATCTTTAACTCTGTATTAAAAAGAGGGGGCTAACTTGTTCACTCGCGTGTGATCTTTAACAAATATGTGTCATTCCCTACAGAAGGATGATAAATTGCCCTTCACATTTCCAGCTTTCAGGTACAGCTGAGGGTTCACTCTTAAGCATTTATTTGACATAACACTTGAAAGAAAAAATCCATAATTACAGTGACCTTTGGGAGACTCCTGTTGCGTGTTAGTTCCAGTCTTGAGCCACCAATTATTTCTTGGCAAAAGCTAGTCAGAAACTATTTTCAAAATCAAGCAGAAGTTTGTCCATCTTTTATTCCTCTTTTCTTCTTTATCTGTTCTTCCCCCATGCCTCCTAATCTTTTATTCCCTTATCTCTATATTGGATTTTTTTTTAGGACTCTTGGTGCCTTAGGCTTTTTGTCTTTCTAACTCTTATTAAAAGTCTCTTGAATTCATACATGAATTCCTGATTTCAGCTTTGGTTTCCTGCAGAGGATCTCCTGGTCCTTTTCCTGTTAGCCCTAAGAATTGACGTAGGAGTATATATATCCTCTGAGGGGAGGGATAGAGAGATCTCTAGGAAGCCAGAAAATTATGCACTGGATGGGACTAATGGGGAACGATTCTTGACATTGAATGAAAGCCTGGACGTGCTTAACCACAGCTTCTGCCCATCCTTACTATGCTGCATCCAGACACAGCCTATACATACTGTTCCTCTTCTCTTAGGACATTTAAATGTTGCTCTTTTTAAAACTTAACACTCCAGCTCATGCATTTTTTTCTGTGAAACCTTCTGTAGCTATTTTTTTCTCACACTGATATTTCTTTTTTGGGGATTTCTATATAGTTTGTAGACATTCCTTTTTGTTTTAAATATATGAGTCTTAGTTATTCTAGTATATTGTAAGTTCCTTAAAAGTAGAGAAATTATTTTAGAGACTTGTGTCGTCTTATTTTTCATGTTCTTTTACTCTAGTGCCAGTAGTCTGGTGTTAGGTGTTTTAAATAAGAGCTATACCATGAGTATCATTTTACAATGTGTCTGCCACTGTTACATTGCAGCAGGTCATCTGTCAGTGGGAGATTTCTTCATAGCAGAGGTGATATGCTGTATGAGATACCTGGTCGGCCAGCTTTATAAGAAATACCGAAGTTCACAGGGAACTGGAAAGCACTGAGATTTGTAATGAACATTCTGTGTGATGTACATGATACTGTATATCAAGGTTCAAGGAGTTATTGCATGTACCAAAAAGAGATAGAGCAGGAAAGGTAGGAACACTTTAGAAACAATGTTAAGGTAAAATAATTGGCCTTATTGGTTGGTGCTAGTTACAGAGAGCTACAAAGCTTGGGAGAGCAGGCCGCTTTGGTCATAAAGGAGCTGCTCTTGCCTTCAGTATTGTCTGCATTTCTTAGTCTGCAGACCAGTGGGAAAGTGAGCTGTGGTTATGCATTAACCTTCGTCACCTAAATGAATATTTCTTTTGCTTTGAGGATTCCTTTCTGGTAGGGAAAAAGAAAAGGGACCTTTCCTGCTGTTCCTCTGTGTGCCTAAAAACCTGCTTCACTTAGCTCCCAGTGATGACTTTCCTCTCTATGGAATCAAAAATACCACATTAATTGAATTACTGTTGGAGTCAGTCACCAAAGTTTTCATTCCAGTTCACAAATAAAACTTTGAGAAGTATAATGAGCTCTCCCATTCACGATTCAGGACCGTTAACTACATACCAGTAGTCAATAATAGTTTTGTCTACGTTTGCTTGTTTTTTAAAGGTTCATGTGGATTTGCTGTTACGCAGTGGGTGCAGTGTTGCTTTGTTTTCTTTGTCCTGAGTTTATGGTGTGTGTTCTCTCTCTCTCTCTCTCTCTC